AAGTGGGGAGCAAAATGGAAGGTGACATTTGGCAGGTAGCTTGAATTCTACGCAGATATTACCTTCCAGCTTTTGGATCCTAGTGGTGGTAAGAGAGGATATTCCTATACCTCCTGTCCATTTGCAGATAAAATTTTTGGATATGAAGCATACTCTCATTCCGATTCATGCCCAGAGGGTTTCTCATCAGACTTGATCAATATGATTAGGTCATTCTGTAGCAAAGCATTTGCCAAACACACTTCATGCTCAAAATAGTAAGTTGGTCCTTGGCCATTTCTCCCTAACACACAAGAAGGTTATTTGTATTTGAAAATAGCAGTGCTTTTCCTAAAGGGTTAGAGGCTGTGATATCAGAAATTGGGAGGAAAAATAGTTTTTAAAAGAGACCTCTGAGATGATTTTGATGGATCCCAGTTTCCAATTTTGTCATTTTAAAAATCACTGTGGGCTGCCTAGCTGGCTTAGTCAAGAGAGCATGCGACTCTAGATCTTGGGGTTGTGAGTTCGATCCCCACATTGGGTATAGGGATTACTTAAAAATAAAAAATCTCATTTATTCATTTGAGACAGAACATGAGCGGGGGTGGGGGCAGAAGGAGAGGGAGAAGCAGACTCCTCATTGAGCAGGGAGCCCAATGTGGGGCTCTATACCAGGACCCCGGGATCATGACCTGAGCCAAAGGCAGATGTTTAACCAAATGAGCAGCCCAGGCACCCCAAAAATAATCTAAAAAAAAAAAGCACAGCCTTATTCTTATTTTAGAAAAGACAAATATACATCGTTTCTGTCTGAGGTTGTAGGTATTTGAAGAGTTGTTTCTTGAGAACGTAACCCAGAGTCGATGCATATATTGATCAAAAAGTCTGATGAATACGGCTGTAGAGTCAAACACTCTGGATGAAATAATAAACTCTTGACCCACCCTGAGGAACTGAACCTAGATGATCTAGATCCTGTTCCCTTATTACCTTGAGCTCTGAGTTCAATATTTTGACATCTCTTTGACTGTGGTTGCTGTAGCAGCCGTACATTTCAGCATGCTGACCAGCAAATAATAAAAAATAGTATGAACAGTAGCTTACTTAATAGTACATATTAAATTAAAGTGATAGCTGGTGTCATATCTCAGTTAATAGAATAGATGTAAGGAGGAGACTTCAATGAACAGGAGCAATAAACATTGAAGAAGAAGCGGAAACAGTAGCTAGAATTGAGAACTAAGAAGAGAATAGAGATAAGATAGAGAAGATTTCTTTGCAGAAAAGACACTGATTGAACCAAAAACCCAGAAAGGACTCCTTAACCTCCTGGGACTTTGTACTTTTCCGAGGGTTCTCTTTAACTCGGTGCCCAGCTGCTGTTTCAGAGTTGCATCATCTTTTCTTTCCTATTAGGTGTTCTATTATTCAACAGGAATCTTCAAAGATGCAGGTGTTCAGGAGCCAATCTATGCCACCATCGGCGCGGGCGTAGTTAATACCATCTTCACTGTTGTCTCTGTAAGTTGGATGGTGTGATAGTTTGGGGGCAGGGGGAGGGGCATTCTTCCTACACATGTTCAAAGATCGGGTTTGTGTCCTTCCATCTCCCTCCCTACCATCATTTAAACAGTTGTGGTTGTTTCATTCTTCTCTGGGAAAGAAGAGCGATTGAATGATGGGTATGAGTAGTCTTCACTCTCTCAAGCAAATATGAAGTGGGTGGGAAAGAGAGAGGTATAAAAGGGATTTGTAGGATGCTTGAAACTCAACTAAAAGGGCACGTGTGACTCTAGCAAGTATCCTGCCATTGGTACGGCACATTCCGGTAGTTCATACAGTTTTCATGAAAGGGAAAGCAGAACTTTTATGTTATATTATTCTTCTTTTAGCTGTTTCTGGTGGAAAGGGCAGGGAGGAGGACTCTCCATATGACTGGCCTTGGAGGGATGGCTGTTTGTTCCATCTTTATGACCATCTCATTGTTACTAAAGGTGCGTGCTCTTTGAGTGAAGGAAAGGGAGGGGCAGCACGGAGAAGAGGTCACAGGTGACTGTGACGTGGGTGGGAGAGGTGAGTTGGAGACCCGGAAAGTCCCATGCCCAGAGTTTTAAGAAAAATGAATCCTCAGAGATAGGTAATTAAACTGCTGTAATTCTTAACATCTATACCACATCCAGCTTGTAAAATACCTTATGTAATTTAATTCTTCAAGTATTCTTGAGGTAATTATTCCCATTTTACAGGTGATGAAATGATCTTGGTGCAAAATGACACATGGTGTGAGCGCAAGGCTAGGATTCAAAAACCCAGGCCTTTTGACTCTAAGTCAAAGAACTCCATTGTACCCCAGACAGAGGGAGCTTTTCGTTATCAGTCAGTCCTCATCGCTGGGAGGCCAGATCTATCCAGGTCAAGCTGTCTTGACTACTAACTTTCCTTTGTTCCTCCTCATTTAGGATGAGTATAATTGGATGAGCTTTTTTTGTATCGGGGCTACCTTGGTCTTTGTGGCCTTCTTTGAAATTGGCCCAGGCCCCATTCCCTGGTTTATCGTGGCCGAACTCTTCAGCCAAGGACCCCGCCCAGCCGCGATGGCAGTGGCTGGTTGTTCCAACTGGACCTCCAACTTCCTGGTTGGGCTCCTGTTCCCTTCAGCTGCAGTAAGTAAATTCAAACAAAACTCACCGAGTCCATCTCAAAAGCAGCTCACTTAAGCCGACAGGTTTAAAATTTGGTAACTGAAACCACAGAGGGTTAGATATCAAGTGGAGTTTGTGGGTTTTTTGTTTTTTAAAGATTTTACTTATTTTAGAGAGGAAGAGATTGAATGTGGGGGGGGAGCAGAGGGAGAGGGAGAGAGAGAATGGCAAGCAGACACTGTGCTAAGCATGGAACCTGACCCAGGGCTTGATCTTCTGAGCCGAAACCAAGAGTCGAACGCTCAGCCAACAGCCACCCAGGCGCCCCCCCAGATATCAAGTGTTTTAAACCAGATTTTTTTTTATTTTCAGTGGCATATAGAAAAAGAAGGAATGGTAGCAAAAAAAAAAGATTAAAGCAGGAGGGCACAACTTGGAACTTTTATTTTTTTAAAAGTAAACTCTACCCCCAACATGGGGCTCAAACTCAAGACCTGGAGGAGATCAGGAGTCGCATGTTCTACTGACTGAGGCAGCCGGGTACTCCAATCCTGGGAACTTTTAAAAGACCACTGGTCTGAGGTGATTATACAGGCATAGTTCTGCCTAGATACACTGATTGTGATGAATGCCAAAAGATTCCAGAACAATATTTAAACTCCACAATTTGAATTAGCTTGCATTAGTTACTTCATGACCTTAAAGGCTCACTAATAATCATAGGATGTTAATGAATGAGTGAGGTAGGTCCTATTATAAAATGACCTGGAGCTGGTTCCTTAAATTAAGGCACTTGCAGTGGACGTCTAGAATGCATTTCCTATTTCTGTGAGTCTTTCAGAAACCTGGATTTTAAAAATAATCATCAAAACTCCTAGGGGCACCTGGGTGGCTCACTCAGTTAATTTAGTCTGCCTTCAGCTCAGGTCTTGATCCTGGGGTCCTGGGATCGAGCCCCACATGTGGTGGTTCCTTGTTCAGCGGGGAGCTTGTTTCTTCCCCTGCTTGTGCTCTATCTCTGACAAATAAATAAAATTAAAAAAAATTCCTAAAATACTCAATAGGTATTTGGAAACAGGGATCTTTAACGAATAGGAAAAGGAATGACGCAGAATTGCAGGGAAATACATTGAGTAATGGCATCATAAACATCCGAGGAAGGGGCGCGTGGGTGGTTCAGTCGTTAGGTGTCTGCCTCCGGCTCTGGTCATGATACCAGGGTCCTGGGTTTGAGTCCCGCCTCAGACTTCCTGCCCAGAGGGACGCCTGCCTCTCCCTCTCCCACTGCCTGTGTTCCCTCTCTCTGTCTCTCTCTGTCAAATAAAGAAATGAAATCTTTTTAAAAAAATTACCGATGATGGGGCGCCTGGGTGGCTCAGTTGGTGAAGCGACTGCCTTCGGCTCAGGTCATGATCCTGGAGTCCCGGGATCGAGTCCCACATCGGGCTTCCTGCTCAGCGGGGAGTCTGCTTCTCCCTCTGACCCTCTTCCCTCTTGTGCTTTCTATCTCTCATTCTCTCTCTGAAATAAAGAAATAAAATTTAAAAAAAAAAATACCGAGGATCACTACATGTTCTTCTTAAATGTGGAAGGGTTGTGTCCCGAAGCTTACTAGAAATGGATGGGAAGGGAGGGGGTTTGGCAATGACCAGAATTTACACTGACGCTCCTTCTTCTTTATCTTTTCATTAGTTCTATTTAGGAGCCTATGTTTTTATCATCTTCACTGGCTTCCTCATTCTCTTCTTGGTCTTCACCTTCTTCAAAGTCCCTGAGACTCGTGGCAGGACTTTCGAGGAAATCACACGAGCCTTCGAGGGGCAGGCTCGGGAAGCTAACAGAGCTGAGAAAGGCCCCATCGTGGAGATGAACAGCATCCAGCCCACAAAGGAAACTGCCACCGTCTAAGCCATGCCTCCTTCCCGCCTCCCTCCCAACATGGAAAAGCAACCTCTCCCCAGATGAGGGAGAGACCTCATCAGCTTGTAACCCAGGACTGTTTCTGAATGCTGCTACTTG